TCTGCTTCTTGGAAGTGTCAAGACAAAAAATTGAGATTCAACAAACCTGAGTCTCCAGTTGGCAGCTACAGCTGTAAAATGTGAGGCTCAGGTAGTAAGTGCTATTATTATTAAGAAGTAGAAAAATCAAATTTTGGCCATCAGTTTCTAAACCCTGTGCTTGCTCTGATATGCATACCACTTTTCCGCTAAAATAAAGGAAATTGAGAGAGAAGAAATGTTGCTGGGGCTGATAGAGAAGAGTATCGCCAAGCTCCAGATTCTGTTTCTGATGACTATTCACATCCACTGTCCTTGAGGTGTGAGATGCTCTCTATTCCAAGATAATCCAGATGGATGGATTCTACCTTCTGGCCTCTGGCCATCTGGACCCTCCCAGGTCTTTCTCTCTGTTAGCTTCACCAGACACCTTCCCTGAGCCAGGGTGACTGAAGACTGGCCTTCGCTCTGCACATTTATCTTCAACCCCCAGTATACTAAGCAGAGCACACACTAGCCTAACTCATTTATTTCTACTCACTTATTGATGGCCTTTCATAACCAAGTTATTAACTCATCAATAACTTCAGTGAAATAAATGTGTAGATCCAGAACTGGGCCAACAGATATTTAAGATATACACTGAAAATTTTGGCTTAGGATCATCAGAAAAGTCAATGCTGGGTCATCAATGGAATTTCTCCCACCTGGGAAAATACATTTCATAAATTTTTGCTTCTAATTGGAACCCAGTTTATTTCTGTAGAAGGTATTGAAATGAGTAAGTTCTCCAGTCACCCAAGTAAAATAAAGTTTTTTTTTAAAAAAAGGTTACATACATATTGTAACATTTTTCCAAAATATCACTGAATGTGTATTACTCTCATCAGCTATCAACAACAACGAAAACCTGGAAGCTTTGGCAATAATACAATACAAGCTCTTTTGGACTTTGTATAAATTTTGATATGCTTCCCCCAGGAAATAAAAAGGAGAAAGAAAGAGGGAAAATGGAAGACCTTAGGAGACCCTTAAAGTGAAGATCTAGGATTCCTAACACTGACGTTAAGTTTCTGTATGGATATGTTCAAAGCCATCGTCAAGCTCAGAGGAAATACATAGTTTCATCATGTTTCAAGGTATACGTATCTGTGCAATCTCAGTCTTCATGACCTCACCAGTATCCTGACTTCATTTCCCTACTTATGCCTTTGCCCTAGTTTGGTCCCCACTTACAGCCTGAAGGTCCATCTAGAGGTGAGGACCTTGGCTCCTGAAGAGCTGCCAGTGTCCTTGGTAACCTTTAAATTCTCCAGTTTTCTCATCTGTAAATTAAGAATAATAGAGCGCTCTTTATCAAATTGTTTTAAAAATGCAAATACTTATTATAGTTTATGTCTAGATCTCCTCCCAAAACCTCACGTGGTCTTTAGTGGGGCTTTTCAGAGGTGGCTGAATCTAGGGTGTATGATGCTGGTATTAAGAGTGTGTGGTTACTAAATTAGTCCACTGATTGGTTTGGTGCACTTCTGGGTTTGATAGTGGAAAGCACCACTCTGGGTGTGGGTGGAACCACCCAAAGGGCAGGTAGCCTGGAAGGGGTAACAGGAGGAGGCAGGGGACTGTGGCTGGTTCACTACTTCCCTACTTTGCTGCCTTCTACCCACCATGAACTGTTTCTCCCTGCCTTAGAGCCAGTCAAGTTTGAACCAGAACTTCTACAAACTGTGAGCTAAGTAAATCTTCTTTCCTTTAATTTTAGGTGTCATGTATTTCATCTCCACAGTGAGAAAAGTGACTTAAGACAAAAGTCAGTATACAAAACACTTAGAATATTGTTTAGTATATTGTTAAGTGTTCAAGAAGTATTGTCTATTGTTGTCCTTAATAAAAATATAGAATTTTACATATGATTTTAAGGTTTTACAAAACAGTCATTCCAATTTCTTCAGTTCATTCTATAGACAAGATAACTGTGGTCTAATAAAGTTTCCATAGAAGATCATTTTTTTGAGTTTAAAAACTGAATGAGACACTGCAGAAAAGACCATCATCTTTGAAATATAGCCATCCCACACTCAAATTTCAGCTAAGTTGTTTTCTAGCTATGACTTTGAGCTTACTTTTTCTCTTCTCTACACCTCTGTAGGTCCTCATGTGCAAAATAGATATTAATCAACCTGCTTTGATGGATTGTAGTGAGAATTGAAAAATAATGACTGAAAAAAATTAATGACTGGCTAATGTGACCAGTATGCCTCCTAGCAGTTAATGAGCTTTCAATAGCTGAAGACTGTCATTTTTTGCAAACATCACTCAGCTGGTCTGCTGCATGGTGGGTTCTAGAGTTCTGGCCCCCTGCCAGTACAGCTGACCTCTACACCACCTACCCTTACTTAAAAACACAAGCTAAAAAGAAATTTTCTAGCCCTCATTTTTATCCATTTTGTTCTGTAACTAGCTTGTCATCTATAGATTTTATGCTGTCAATGATCACCTATTCCGGTTGATGGATGACATCTGTAAGTCCCTACTGATGTTAAAAGAAAGGAATGGTGAAAGAGGGGTTCTTACAATGGGCCCAGAGACAACAGGAGTAATTTTGTCTGCCAACTGAATTCCAACCTGCAGTTGGGGGTGAGAGCTCAGAAATGGCTCGTGTGTGTTGCAAGATGATGAAGAATATATTATATGTAGCCGTAATTTTTTGCAAAGCTGACACATTTGATGGGGAAATAGAGAAAGGTACAAGGAAGGATGGAAATTAAACCAGACATCCTGTTTTCCCTTTTTAGAGGAAATGAATATATTTTAACTCTAGATAGCAAAGCACAGCACTTCAGCTCTCTCTCAAAAGAAAGAATTCTGGAACCCTAATATCCTAACATGAAAAATAATTGGTGCCCCTCAGTGAGACCTGGAAACAGATAATGAGTTTTATAAAGTAAGTTTGAGGAATTCTTTCCTCATGAGATTTTTTTGATATTTGTATATATACCAAGGACTCCGTGTTAACCCTGCCTGACATAGCATTTCCTGAATGATTGGCCCAGAATTCCCATCAGTATCATATGAACACTGGCATACAAAGGAATATCATTTGAAAATTTGTAAATTTTGAAAAATCAGAGATCTTAGCCAATGAGAAGGCCATAAAAAATTTGGACTTCTCCTGAGTTTCTACTCAAATCATTTGAGGCACAAGACAAATGTCTGACTCAATACGGACCACACAGTTTACATTCTGGTGTTCTCATTTTATTTGTGGCAGTTGGGACTGCAACATCTGCCCAGTATGCATGTTTCAGAGAGCAAAATACACCCCTCATGTTCCATCATTTATTGTTGAACAGTAATAGAACACACTGAGAAAGAACAAAAAACTGAGTAAAATAAAATGAAAGCAAACTAGGCTGGCCCTATCCAAGGACTGGCTTTGGTTCAGCCCATGGGTTCACACTGTTTTTTGGACAACAGAGGTCCTCAGAATATCTGCTTTATCACTGGATTGCAAACTCCTGATGCTATGTGGGAATGAGCCTGTGGGCTCAGACAAAGCAAAAGTCCACATTAAGATGTAAATGCTTTTAACAATGGAGATAATTATGATTGCAATTGACTGGAATTCACTTTTCTTAATATGCAAGATTAGACACAGAAGTTTAAAAAGGCTACTGAAAATTCTTCCCACACTGCAAATTGTTTTATCATTTCTCGCTAACATTCTCAGTAACTTTTCACCTCATTTTCCTTTTTGTCACATTTAAATTTTCTACTCTCTTTTGTCTTTAATTCCTCCTCCTCCCCTTTCTCTTTAAGGCTCCAGTGCACGCATGTGTACATGTGCACGGTGTTGTGTGTGTGAGATACATTCACTTAGTGCATCCCTGCCTTCAGGAATATCTCTTTGAAAACTCTTCATAATCTAAGCAGAAAGATATCAAAATCAACCATAGCCCTATCAAAAGTAAAATGAGAGAAAACTAGAATAACAATGACTAGACTGTTACCATCTCTGTGACCTTTTGCTAATCCATAAATAAATGCCATCCAAATTTTACAGAAGTAAAGTGCAAAATTCCCTCGTCAATCTGACAGAAATACCATTTTTACTGATGTAAAAAAGTGGCATTTCTTAGCTATTCAATAAAATCAGAATTATTTAGGAAGGCAAATGTTGAATTGAGACAAAAGAATGTCATCAACACAGCCTGATCCATGAACTAATTTGTTTGGCAACTGTCTCACCATTTAGATGGAAATGCCTGTGCAGTACTTAGAAAGATTTTTTAATGTGATTCAATCTAATTTTGCTATGACTCCAAATGCTATAGGGGAAATAAATGTACTCCCAACCTGCTAGATATCTGATACACTAATTTCATGCCCCCCAAAATCAAAGAATGAATTTTGAGTAACAACAGAGGCTGAGAGTAGGAAATTTTATTGAGGGAGGACAGCTCCTGAGACAGAAAGGGACCCAGAAAGCAGGTTGCCATGGACTCCATTTTTCAGAGGATGTTTTATAGAGCAAAATCACAAGGTGGGTACAAAAATCAAAAAGTGGGTACAATGTGGGACAAAATCATGATGAATCAACAAGATTACAAGTAGAGTCACTTAGGGAATGTTGATTCAGTGGAAAAGCAAGTCACAAAGCAAGTGTACATGGAAAAAACAAGGCCCTTGTTTGAAAACCATGAGTCAGGAGGTCCTGGTCATCCCCCCAGCTGACTGATGCCTACTTAGAACATCAGTTATACAGTATTGTCTGTTCCTCGGGGAGTATGTAGGTCTAAACCATTCTATTTTATCTTGAGAGCTGGCCTTCAAAGAATGCACCTCCAGCCACAGTTATAACGTGTTCCTGTCTTTTGCACTGACTCCTCTGTGGGCCTAGCTCTGTCTGCCTAAAGTATTTCTACCTAATTTAGCTGTCTATAGTAATTTGATTTATGTATTTTTCTATTAAAATGTGTTTAACCACCAGCGCAATCCCTTTTTCTATGGTGTCTCTCCAGGAAGCAAATAACTTGGATAAAAGCGTGACAAAAGCAGAGAGTGCACGGCTCTTCAGGATGTGGTATGGTTTTGACCACAAGTATCCTTTGATAATGACCTCGCGGATCCTGCTGCATGACAGAGAAGTATTCTGAGCATTCAATCGTTGAGGTACACACTTCTGCTCCTCAGGAAACACAGAAAGGTAAAGTGAACTCACAGCCAAACTTATCAAGGGGATGATTTTGTAAAATTAAAATATCATCTGGTCTATGCTTAGGTGTTAAAAAGAGCTAATGTAAATCTATGAGTCAAATCTGGTATTTAGTGGCAATCTAACATAATCTAACACTAACTGATAAAATCATACAGTCCTGAAGAATTGATCCATGTTATGGTTCTTTGTAGAAATCTGAACAGGCTTTGGCCAGGGGAACCTAGACAAATGTCCTGCACCCTTCCCGCAGAAGCCCACTTGATTTTGTTCTTTACCATAAAGAATAAGGCAGTGGGCTAAGGTTAAGAATGAATGGGCTGAGAAAAGTCTGGATCATCATAGTATAAAATAGCACTTTTTTTCAGGCAGGCTTGAGTAAGCTTTTTCCCACTGAAGGACAATTTTAAAATTCTAGCAGCCAGTGTAAACGCAGTAACCCAGATATATCTCGCCCTGTGACTTGAAGGGCTGAGAAGTCAGGCCTGAAATGCTTTGCCATTATGAGTTGCAGTAAGCAGTGCATCGCTAATCCCAGGCAAAAGCTCCATGAAGAAAAGGAAAGAACTGCACTGTAAATTGAATGTGTTGGGTCTTTGTAGTTAGTTTTCTTCAGTCACAAATCCCTCTCCTTTCAATGAGAAAATGTCAGTCACTGGATGATTTTAAGCCCCTAGCCAATGATTAAAGCCACAACAAATCAGTAGGGAAGAAGAATTAGGAAGAGGGGGAAAAAAGTTCAAAGAATTGGTGAAAAGAAAGTGATAAAAACGGGAAAGAGAGAGGAAGCAAAAGAAATTCAGCAAATTCACATGATAAATGAAAAGAAAACAAAGGAATGATTATGGGAAACAAAAAGCAAGAAAGAAGTAAAGAGAAGCTAATTGAAGACTGCAGAGATGGACAAAAAGTAAAACAGTGTGACAGTTCTGAAAAGCAGAATATTTCAAGAGTTACAAACTGATGCTGTGGTGGCTAGAATGTCTCTGAGGTTGCACGACTGGCCTGGGGTGGCTCTGGTGTCTGTGGGTAGATGTCCTGCCTGCTTGGTGCACAGCACTTCACCCGAAAAGCAGTCCATTCTGGCCACTGGCTGCCTCCTGCAAGTCCCAGTATCTCCTCGACTGTGAAGCCTTCCCAGTGTCTCACAGGGCAGCTTGTTCTTAGCAGGTCATTGCTGATTTACACTCCTGGTGGATGTGCTTCTAGAAACAAAATTTGCCCCATCATTGCTTACAAGTATCTGATAACCACACTTGCTGCAAGTTATAAGAATCTGATTGAAAAATACTTGAGAAGATATACAGAGAGAAAATGATAAATCAGAAATGTGATAAAAGGTTTTTTTCCACTTCTGAAGTTACTGTGAGGAAAACTTTACAATGAAAAAAAAAAGGTGAGAAAATTAATTCAGAGGTAAGGAAATGAAAGTTGGAGCCCACCCAAATTGTTAGCTCAGAACAGTGACACTTAATTCAAATGATGTCATGATTTTTATCTCACTTTTCACCATGGGTTTATTTCCATATGATTAGGGGCAGACTAGCAAAACTGAAAGAAGATTTATATTCTCTGTAATGTCTCTCCTCATGGTAATTTGTCCTCCTGTGTGTTCATTCTAGAAATTGCAGTGCTATCATTGCACAAACATGTTTTCACTCAAACAATGGAGTTTTTGCGTCCTATTTATGCTCTAAATTTATATCTAGAGGATGGCAAGCCAACCAGATTCAACTCTGTGACCTCTTGATATATCTTATTTTCAGAGACAAATTATCCATTTGGCATTTATATCCATTCTGTTGGCCACCTAGAACCCAGTTGATGTTCCCTTTAAGTCTCATAGGTTAGGTTATTGCCAGGATAGAAATGAATCCCCATCCAGGGATAAGATTGCCTGACCTGGGCCCAAAAGACAGCTTTATGAATCTAACAGAAATAGAACTGCTCAAGTTTCATTTCCATAAAAGCATATTATGCAGATGAGGCATCATAAAGAATTGTTGACAAAAGAAAAAAAAAAGGAATAAACAAGCACTTAAACACACCTGTATCAGTTAAAGTTCTCCAGAGAAACAACCAGAACACCTAGAAGTAATTTACATATGCACACGTATATACATATAGATTTATTTCAAGGACAGGATGTGTATAATTGTGGGGGCTTAGCAAGTGCAAAAATCTGAAAGGCTCCCAGTCTAGAAACTTAGAAAGGAGCTGAATTTACAACCTTAAGACTGAATCCCTTCTTCTTCAGGATAACCTCAATTTTGCTCATAAGGCCATACAACTGATTGGATGAGGCCCACCCACACTATCAGAGATAATCTCCTTTACTTAGCATCTGTAACTGTAGCACCTAAACCAGGGTTTAGTCAAATGACTGGATAGTCCAGTCAAGTGGACACATAAAACACAGAACCCAACTTGATTCAACTGATGCCCAATATTCAGACCAAAAAATAGAAAGCCCCTTACACTGCACCAGTGTTATCAGTAAAACTGCTGTTGATCACATAGTTTTGTTCCATTTTATTTTTTGATAGAATAGGTAATTTACACACGCATTTTTGCAGAACTAATCACAAAAACACTCAGTGAGGATGAACAGTGGCCAAGCACTATGTTGAGTGCTTTACATTAAGCATTTCATTTCTCCTCCCAGCTCTTCAGGAGGCTGGAAAGCAAACACAGCAGAAATGGACCACTGATTGGATCAGTCTCTGCTTAACAGCCTGGGTCCCTGTTTGAGAGCATTGTTAGAAACCCACAGTGCCAAAATTGATGATTAATTAAGATTTCATTATGATCCAATGTGGACAGCAATTCTAACTCATACAATGCAGAAAAGAAGTTAGGAAGTGTAGAGATGAGAAGAAATACTCTGTCGTGTAATCCTTATATCCACTTTTTCTATTTAAATTTTTATAACTATCCTCTTTGCGAAGGAAGAAACAAACTCCTTGATAACTTTTTAAAATGTCTTAAGTTTCCACAGCTATTAAGGTTCAAGCCTGTTTCTGGCATTTACTCCAAAGTTCATAGACATTTTTTATCACTAACAATTGTATGTCCATGCTACCTTCTTCCCCTATAAAACCTCACAGCTCAATATGTGCATAAAGTCACCCTTAGGGCAAAGAATAACTACAATTCCTTACATTGTGCAGTGCATAACTTAGCTTTCAGATATCTTTTGACAGTGTAGGGATGAGAACGATGCTAGAGGGCTTTGCCGATCTTTCGCAATGCACCATTTTAGAGAAGTCTCCAAGTTTCCAAGTCAGATCCTCATCTCTTCAGAGGAAAAAGTTCAATATGCCAAGAGCTTCATTCAATCTCATTAGAGATAGACACATTCTAGCCAAATTCAAAAGAAGTAGAAGCATGAACCAAACACCAGGCTCCTAACTCACCACATCCCCACTAATAGCAGTCTTTTCCCAGCCATGAAAATGCTCAGGTTACAGTCTAGCTCCTAGTGTCCCTCCTCTCCTACCTCACTCTTGTCACTCTACTTGGACGCCCCAGGCTTCCTCAGACACATGAAACGCATGTCTGCATCCGGGCCTTGGCGCTGGTTCTTCTCTCTGACAGCCTACACGTTTGCCTTTCACCTTTTACAGTCAGTTTGTCAGTGAGACCTTTGTGACACCCATATTTAAATTAGCAGTTCTAACAGGAGTGTTAGCTCAGTCTTTTCTAGCCATGCCTTTGTACTATGACACTTACCACCACCTGGCAGTGTGTACTTCATTTTAGTTGTCTCCTCTAACCAGGGTATGTGCTTTCTGGGGACAGAAATGTGGGTCTGTGTTTGTTGACTGGCACAGCATTGGAGCATAGGATGGTGTCTGGCATGCAGTGTAGACTCAATAAATATTTGCTGAATGAATCAATCAATCAGGCATGCAAGCAAAACGGCACTATTTTCTATCCAAGGCACCTTCATTTCAGATATTGACGTAGCAGGAAAAACCAGTTAATTACCTGAAGGTTACTAAGTGAACGTAAAAGCAGAGAGAGGCCAAGTGGGTAATGTACGGGTCTTCATCCAGGCACCCGGTGCAGACCCCACCCCTCGTCCCCACCCTCTGACAGAGACACCCACTCTCAGCAGTTTCTGCCAGCTTCCTTCCGTGGGTGAGTCTGTCTATCTTAGGTCCCCTCACCCCTGGCGGGAAAGGGAAATGACCATTTTAACTATATCTTTTGAAAACAACCACCAGAATTTTGTTGCTTTAATTTAGCAGGAATTTGATAAACAACATTTTTAGGAGTCTACAATTCCAAGGCTAAGTTTCCAATTATGGTAATATATGTATTAATTTATTGCAAATAAAGTTTTTTTAATTAAGAACAATTTAAAGAAAAATATAAGTGACTCAGACATCATTGGTAACTTAAGTTTTATTAGTACAACTCATCTGGTAAGTTCAAGCCTTGTTCTGGCTTAGAAACCATTTTCTGTATGGATGACTTTGAATACATCTTAAACCACCAATCATTATGACTTTATTAAAATCAAACTCTAAATTTTACAGCCCCTTATCATCTTCATTACTATCACTATGTCTTCACTATAGTCTCATATAATGAGAAGGTTAGAAGCAGACATTGATGCTTCCTTATTTATATTTTAAGGTGTCAGATAAAATTTGCTTAGATTCATGTTACAGCTGGTGTGGGAATCTTGTGTTGCCTTATCATAGGTGACTAATGATCCTGCTGGGCTGTCTGCTTCCTAGAATCTCTTTCTACTCTATCATTTGTCATCTCTCTCCTTAAGCATGGCACATATTAGTTCTACAAATGTGAATGATGCAGGATAAAAAGATCTTTTCCAAAATAAAAAAAAATCTAAAATCATTCTTAGCACTTCCCAT